AAAGTTCAAATTATTAATATTAATAATAATAACTTACTTTATCAAGATCTTTTTCACCATGTTGAAAGTTGACTGAGAGCAAAGTGCTTCAGCTATGACAGTGTTTCCCAAACTTTCTTTCTGGGGACCCAAGTCACAAACCTTCGCGACCCAAACCAATAGACATTATTCGTAAACTCCTGGGAAACATGATGCAAGATGACCCCAAAATAAATATCTTGCGACCCACCTGAGGGTCGCGACCCAGTCTTTGGGAAACAATGAGCTATGACATAAGAAACAACAAAGAAAATCCACAATGCTGTTAGTTTGTAATTTCATTCATTTTTTCCCTCTCTCCACCTTGTTGTTGCTTATTTTCTCAGAATTACTGAGTCCTGCAGTCAGTTTTTTCGCTGACATCCACAGAAATGTTGATTACGTCCTGGAAAGTTGTCAGAGCATCAGTGGGCCACCGTGCGAGCTGCACTCGTTTAAAGCTAATTCACAGTTCATCTCCACTGTGAACCAGCTTTAGGAAACCAGAGAAGACAGAAACAGGAGCTCTTACCCAAAGAAAAGTCTTCTGTTGATCAGAGACTTGGAGAAAAACCAAACACTTTTCCTCTACATGTCCCTCGTGGACTAACCTCTTTCACAGTGATACGTTGGTATAAAGCACTGGGACGGCTTTTACTTGTGTTTTTGCTGAGATAATATTGGAGGGATTATCTGCACTGGTAGTGAATCTGCAGGAGGACTTGTGTTGGCGTACAGTACCGGCTATGTGCTGGCAGAACAGAGTTCTAGGAGAGGTTCCCAAACTCCAAATTTTCATGCCAAGGACCCCCCAACTGCATAACTTCTGGCTGGCACCCCCCTTTGCAAAATCAGAGACAGAGACAATGCTCCAAAATATGTAAAAAAAGGAATGTATTTTCTTCCATATATTCAATAATTGAAGAAAAACTATGAGCGTGTTGTCAACGATCTTGCGACCCACCTGAGGGTCGCGACCACAAAATCACCAGCAGGTCTACACAGATTATGACGCATCATGGCGAGGTTGCAGCTGTGACATGAGGTGTCTTCAATTGTCTGAGGCCCCCTACCGTCCCCCGCTACAAAACACACTGTTCTTGGTGACCTCAGGATCATTAAGTTCCAGATAGTGTTTGGTTTACAGATCTTTGCTACAACACAGTGGACAAACACGCAGCCAGCAGCGACCTCAACTGACCTCCAGCAGGGGGCGGGGGGTTGTACAGAGAAGAGCGACGCTTATTAAAACCAGTTCAGTTCCGTGTGAAAACAGAACCCCGGGACACACTGGAGTGCAATTATGATGCTCTTTTATTGCAAACAATGGAACAAAAATACAAGCTACTGCAATTCATCTGGATTCCTGTGTGACTCCCAATTTCTCAAAGATGAAAAAAATGACAACAAAATACAAAACAGTTGGTCAGAAACTCTGGAGAACAAATACAAAAAAAAACTGCAGTCAAAACAGGTTTGTCCTCTACGCAGTCAGAAGAGAGGATGCTCTTATAATAAACTAATACTCTGTGAATGTGACAGACCACATACCAAAAAAATAATTATTTTCCTCGATAATATTAATAATAATACAAAAAAACAGCCAGCTTATATACAAGACGATACTATTTCCTTTGAATCTGGCGTTCCTCAGCTCCCAGTGAAACTCAAACTTCAAATGTCTCAGTAACCGACTTGTTACACGTGTCCTTTCAAAGTGTATAAGGCATGACCACGAACCTCTTGTCTGTTCCCATCTTAAATATCAAGGTGGAAGACATAATAAAGTATGGGTCAATTCTCTTTTATATTAAACCATGTAAATCCTTTCAACGTTTCTGTGCATTGCTCGTCCCTTCTTAAGGCACAGACTATTCAGTAGGGGAGTCAGAACAAACTGTACATCAACATACACGACTGAGCAACAACAACAAAAGAAAATCTTAGATCACCACTAGCTTTTTGGTTTACAGAATGTTCCATGTCCATTCGTCTACTTTCAGTCTCTCGTTTCAGTCCTAAATCGTTCATAAGACTTGGACGTAGGCGTCTGCAGCCCTCGGTCAAAGCCTGGACAAAGGATGGAAAGTGAGCGGCTGGTTATAGAAAAAAACTTCATACAGAGTTACTAATAAACTAGCGGAGCACTTTGAATCTTTTTTTTTTAACTCGAGGACTATCGCTGCAGCCTGACACTAACATCCATTTCTTACGCAGGATTTACAAAGTGAAGAGAAAACGTGTCAACCAACACAAAACCTCTTCCACTTTAAATGAACATACATTTGTTGACTTTCCACTATGACTTTTTCTTGACCTTTTGACCTCTCCTGAGTCTCAGCATTGTAGAAATGATATTGCCAGTACAGATTGCAGATATTCTTTGTTGAATACTGCATGCATATTCATCGTGTTATACAAAGTGAATTGGAAAATAATCAGCAATTGATGAAACAAACCTAATGGTAGCCTGAGACCTTTACACTGTATGTGAAGGCAGGGGGGGGGGGGGGGGGGCAGATAACTCCTACTAATACTAAGCTATTAGCATTATGTACAAGCATATCAACAAAAACTGATGTGACATTAGGAGTGTAGTAGGCAGCAAAATGTTCAAAGAAAAAAGAAAACACTAAACATTCATCACCTCATTTTGTAAAAGAAAAAAATGGTGTTCACACATGAAAAGAAACAAATAAAAAAATTTCAGATTTTAGCCAGTTTATAAAACGTGTACAGGCGGACACACGATGTGCTATTTTCTGTATCAATCCAAGTTTAAGCACTTTTCGTTGCCAAGTGCAATGAGTAAAAAAGAGTTAATTAAAAAGTCAAAGGTTTAGACTGAGGGCTGCACTTCCAATGTGGGCAGCGATGGCAGATGTGTGGCAACTGTGTGTGTGTGTCTCTGTGTGTGTGTGTGTGGTGATGAGTGAGAGCGAGCTGAAAAGATTAAAGTAGTTTCTTCTCAGACATCTGGACCTTCCACCAAAGCCCTGGCAGAAAAACCAAGGGTGGAGAAGGGTTAAAAAAAAAAAAAAACACTCAGAGAAAGTGTGCACCCACAGTCTATAAAACCCCAATAAGAAAGAAGGAGACCTCAAAAATACACCCATCCCCCGTCCTGAGCTCACTCTGACACACACACATATATTTAGTTTCTACTTCTAGCAACAAACACTCTGATTGATTAAACGGAGATGTTTCCAAAAAAGGCCACGCTTTTGCTTTAATGTGAGGATTTACAGAGGCCACTTTGATCCGCGGATCCGTCCTGAGGAAACACAAAAGAAGCGCTAACTGGAGAAGTGCAAGGTCAAATCAAGCCGTGAGAGATGAGATCACCGCTGATGTCACCTCTTTTGTTTCTTGTCACTAGGTTCGCCGTACGAAAAGGAAAAATAAATATATATAAAGTGTGTATAAATCTCCAAGGGAGCCGTTATGGGGAGAGTTCCAACCTAGATGTTCTGAACCTTTTTTTTTTCGTTCCCTCTTGTGGATCAAGTTTCTAGTTTCCACAAATGGTGCTGTATATCCTCAGAGAAGCTGCCGAGGAGCCAAACCTCAACATTTAAGTCTGTTCTGTGATCACTAATGATGTCAGACCCTCACAGTGTTTCCAATGTGTTCCGATCATTCTATAAACACACACAAAGTCGGACTGAAAGTTCAGTAGATCCTCTAGTCAAAAGAAGAAAAAAAAAATAAGTTAAAAATTTCTCTGCTTATTTGCTTTAATAAATCGTGACTGCGGTGCGTCAGGCGAGGAGAAGTGAAACTGTTGGTGGTTCCTGGAGCCACATAATGTGAGATGATGACAGCTGTTGTAGTCACATCTGGTATTTATAACACACTGCTTTGATCCTGTGCTTAAATAAAAGAACAATAATGGCCAATTGGTGTTCATCCTGCAGACAGAAACTGCAGGAGGAGGAGGAGGGGAAATGGAGAAGGCAGTGATGTAGCCAGTTATCATTGCTAAGTGAAGCGGGCCAACACCCAGCTGGTCTTCTCTGATGTTTGCTGACTAAGTCAATAACAGTTCTGTGCTAGATCATGACTGCGTTGGTACTTTTTTACTGATTGAAGTGAATTTTGTTGCTTCTCATGCTATATATATTTTTTTTTTCTACAGTTGCAATTTTACCGTGTTCACAAAATCTGCTTATGTACCTGCTGGTACGAACAGGCTGCTGTTCTGGACTGATTCAGCTTCATAACCTCCATAACCACCGCAGCTACATCTGCTCATTTGATGTTGAGTTGAGTCGTTTGACGAGACCGCAGCTACATCTGCTCATTTGATGTCTATGAGTTGTTTGACGAAAGGTCACATGACATCGAGGCTACTGCTCACGCTTCTTCGCAATGGATTTCAACTCACACATTTGGATTCATCACTTTGGACGTCTTACAGATGTGTCTGTGTTGGACAGGGCGCAGCGTTTGACAAGACAAGAAAAGAGAATATTGTTGGTGAAATCATGAAGTATTTCAGTTTTTCCCTCCAATACTAAACAGCCTGCTAGTCGTGCTGTCAATTGTATATATTGATTTATGACTGTTTTATATTTTAACAAATTCTTTATCAGCAGTTGATGAAATGAAGAAGGATCGGCCTTGTTTAACTTAACAATGATCAATCACCGGGGAGACGCTACACACCTCACTCTTGCTAACATTCTGCCTTTGCGCAGCAAAATCATTGATCATTTTGTAGCAGGAAATCAAATTCCAGACATTATGTTTTATCATGACATTAAGAAACAGTATCTCTTGAAGGAAATAAATTAAGTTGATCTGTCTTTGTCATCTTTGCAACTAACTAAAAGAGTTCTCCAACCACGGGGTCCCGGACCGATACCAGGCCGTGGGCCATTGGGACCCGGGCTGCAAAGAAAAGGATAAAGTTGTTAATTATTTTATTTATATTTTTTCTATCTTGTAGGTATTTATTTCAAATTGCCAATTCCTCACAGCTGTCAATCCTGTCTGCAATTCATCCTCTCCCTGGATCTGCTTCATTGTCACATAATATTAAAACAAATTAATTATGTACTTATTATACACCTATAATGTGTATTGCACTGCAGTGTAAAAACTATAGTGTAAAACTGGTTGGTGGCACAACCAAGGTTGGAGACTGCTGATCTAAAGTAACTTTTTCTTGTAACATATAATTCCAGAATCGATCCTTTTTGCCTTCTCTCAATTAAACACCTGCAGAAATCTCCCATCATGTTCTGGTGACTCTCTCTTTTGAATGCTGGCCTCATCTTAAACCAAGTTCATGCAATATTATTTGATTTAATACACCGTTGCTGCTATAATATTCAGCTTTAAGACGACATCGGCCCTCTTGAACTGCCACAGCGTGTGGCAGAGGGGGCTGGGGGCGCAGGACGTGGTCAGACGGGATATAAATACTCCATTAACAAGGGCCTGAACACCTGACCTGTTAAAGACAGGTGGGAAAAAAACAAGCAGAGTACAAAACCTCATTCATAACAAATGGAACTGAATAACAGAGGGTCCGCAGCCTAAACCATCCAGCATGTTTGTAGCTTCTCCAGAAGCCACGTTAGTGTTGTCCAAATCAAGGCAGAGCAGAACTGTTCAGGAAGCTCATGGCAAAACTGAGCTGAGAAATTTCATTCATCCTTTGAAGTGAAACGTCAAAACTAATATTATATTTTTTTTTTCCATCTGCCGCTTGTTAAATTATTCGTAGTCAAACGTCTGTTGTTGTCTTTTTCCCCCTCACACGTACCACTCCCTGCGTGAGATTACAGATCCGTCCATATGGGACACATAGTCGCTGTCTGTACCATTGTCATAGCAGTCCTCCGGTAAGTAGGGGGAGCCGTTGTTCACTATGGGGCTGTGCACCGGGGGCCCACAAGGATGCATGTTTTGAATGTTGTAGTGATCAGGGTAGTAGTTTGCTTCCTTGAGACCCCGGTGGACGTCGCCCTTGTCGGCCCAGTCGTCTCGGTCCTTGCGCTCTGGGGTGTAGTCAGGGTAAATGATATCTCCGCCCAGCTTTGGTTTGAGATCCTGGCTGCCTTTGCTGGTTTTGTCACCGTACACCTCCTGCAGCTCGTGTGGCTGCAGCACATCCAGCTGGGACTCCTTCTGCATGTCGGACGGTCCCAGGTACTGTTTGGTGTAGTAGTCGCCCCTGAAGGTTCTGCGCTGTCGCATGTAACAGACTCCGCCCAGGATGAGCAAGAGAATCAGGAACAAAATCCCGCCCACGACACCCCCGACTATAGTGCCCAAGGTGTTATCAGAGAAGGGGGCCCGGGTCGGGGACGTGAACAGGGCTTTACGCTGGTCTGCGGCAGTGACGACTCCGGAGGTGCGGCGGAGGACGGGTGCAGTAGTGCTGGGCGCTGCGGTGGTGGGGGGAGGATCTGAGGAGGGAGCATGTGATGAACAGATTAGAATCAGAAATGAGTGGAATGACAATTTATCAACTATGGAGAAGAAAGGCTGCATTTAATACTTGGAACCAACTGACAAAAGGACGTATATGTGGTTTCAAAAAGTAGCAAAGAGTAGGACATGGTTCTCCTGAGACCACAGAGGATGTAAAAAAAGCTGTGTCACTGAGCAAAGAGTGGGAAATAAAAAAAAGAGAGAAAGAGAACAAATAGACAGTCATGAACATCTGAGTGAGTGCAATTAGCCTTCCCCACTTCCTAACCCTTCCGTGGATTAGTCATGTGAGAAGATGGAACACTCTGATCGATGTGAGGTTCCACCACCTGATTTGTTCTCCTGTGACCGGCTCTGGTGATGGCAGCCAGAGCCAGAGAAAAGGAGAGCAGAGCCACGAGGAGCTCAAGGTCGAAATAATTGTCTCCATTCTGACCTCTTGTCTCTGAGACTAAGAGCAGCCTGATACTAGTTAATATCTCTGAATAAATCCTTTGAAGGTTTGATACGTGGTGCAGTAGGTATTTTATTAAATGAAAAAGAAATTAAATAGTAAGGAAACAAAAAGTATATGGTGATACGTTTATCTGCAGGGATGTTGCCCTGCTCTTGAATTTTCTCTTTTTTCTTTGATTTTAAAGTGGACAGGACAAATGTAAAGTGGTAAAAAAAAGACCTTTTAAATGGCAATAACGTAACTCAAAGGATGCTAGTTGCTTATTAAAACCGTAAAGAAGAGAGACGTGGTTGGAGGAGAAAGATTCGCTTACAACCAAACCTCAAAGGAAACACACTTTAATTAGGTTATAAATCTCTCAGTGAAACTTTTTTAAGCACTTCAGAAAGTAATTTCAAGTTTATCTGAAATAAAACGTAGCTTTAAAGTTGATTAGATAAACAGGGTGTAGACAAGTTAGCAACACTGTCAGGACTGACCAGCTCCAGAGGTCAGTGGGTGTTTGTGTTTGTCATGAGAGGAAGTCAGTTAGAGTTCTAACAGAATTACAGTGACAGGGTACTATTTTTAGGGAGTCTAGTTCAAGTTTAAGGCTAATTTGAAGAACTGGTCCAACACTGGTTAGCCATCACTAAATACAGATGAGGCTGCTAACATTCAATGATCATGTTGTGCATTAATTGTACTACTGGAATATGGTAACTAGGTTACTTTTGAAGACCTACATAAATGTAGGTGTGGTGCAGCCTGAAGGGCGAAAACCTGTGACGTTTTGTCGGATGTAGGTGTGGTGCAGCCTGAAGGGCGTGGACAAAAAACTGTGACGTTTTGTCGTCCATTTATAAGATGATATGAAAAGTGCAGAAATGACCTGGCAACAGCTGCATCTCCCACAACATAGTTGACCTTGGAGTCAAGGTCATCAACACAGGCTTTTCGACCTTTTTCCCCCCATTCCTCAATCTCGAGGAAAACGATTTGAACACTCTCTAAAAGTGAGGTTAAGCAACTGTAACGCTTTTGCTACTGGTAACAGAACCACAGCGTGCTCTGTGCAGCCGTTCAGCCTGAACACTGACAGAAATCTGACTCAATCTCACACTCATTATTCTTCAATCTGTAGCTACTTACCAAATCACTGTTGGCATCACATTCAGAAATGTCTAATTTATGTGCTTACTAATCAACGCCAGTCAAGCAGCAGTCACAGAAGTCAGTCCAAAAGAGGGAACACGACTTGGGGGAGAGAGGGAGGACAGAGAAGGGGGAGCTAGTGTCACACAGCTCTTGTTGATTTTAGTGTAAAAAAAACTCGCTGTCCTTATGTGCCTGGTCCGAATGATGAGATAAAAAGGGAATCTTACAAACATCTCTTCAGTACACAGTGTTGGTGTCCTTGGAACAATACTAGAGAATGTTCTTAATGTAGTATTAGTTAGTGCAGGTATTAATAAAGAGTACTTGTTCTAATAATAACCATGGCTAACTGTGTGGGGGTTTATATGATCAGAGCAGGGGAGAGGATGACAAAAAAGGACAGAACATTTCAAACTCATGAGGTTTATGAGCATCTGCAACCATGTAGCTGATCATCTGGGAGGAAAGAAGCCAAAACCACAGAGCTGCAGAGACAACTGGGAATGTGAAACAGTCTCAGTAAACCAAGCAAGGGTTGGGGGGGGGCGGGGGGAGAGAACTGAGCTCAACCTGGCCATCACCACAGGGGAAGGAGACAGAGGGCTGCATGCCCAAGTCTTAATATTTGACAAGAGAAGTAACAAAGAGCCAATGCTCCGGCTACGTTCGTCCTGGACAGGATGTCAGCTGTGCTTTCGATTGGAGCAGAGCTCCAAACCAGGCCTGTACACATACGAACCCTGACAGGCTTTGTTTAGGGCTTCTCTAGCTTGTTCCCTGACAGTGAGAATAAAAAAAAAACAAGACCGTGAGTGTTAGCAGAATTGAACGTCCAAGAGCAGCAGTTGCTTTGTTTGGAATAGGACTTGAAGGAGCAGCCGACATGTGAGAGAAGCCAAGTTTGGAGGATTCACACCCTGAATTCGAAGTGATGAACTCAAGCAGCAGACCAGGAGGTGACAGAGGAAGTAGTTTGTTTTCGGATATAAATAAATAGATATAGAGACAGGAAAACATTAACGTCCTAAATACAGTGTCATCCCTTGGATTTATATGAAAACGGACAATATGAATAAGTCGATACAACACTACTGCAATACAGTTTTAAACTCAATACAAGAATAAAATTGCTAAGCAAAATAATCAATAAACCTCCAATCTTAAAATTAAAAAAAAAAAGAGTTGCCAAAAAGTGAAACCTGAAACACAAAGTAAAAAGGCTAGATGGGTGCAAACTTTAAAATCCTGTGTTGCCAGAACCACAGCATGTTTGGTATTGATACCCTTTATCTGCACTCTGTGGTCTGCTCTTTCCAGGAGTGTGTGAAAGTTGATCTGGGCAGGGACGTTGGTACTACGGGCTTTTCTCTGTTAGAAATGTGGTCTGTTTGTACAGGGAGTATAGTTTTACATCAGGAAGCCAAGGTGAATGTTTCAAAGCCTTAGTAATCTTAATTATTAATGATAATTTATCAAGCGAATGGAAGAGTTCAGGTCGTAACTTACCGTGCACCCACACGTTTACCGTCTGACTGCTGAGGCCGACGTCGTTTATCACTTCGCAGCGATAAACTCCAGAGTCATTGTGCTCCAGCGGACGCGTAAAAGCCAAAGTGTTGTTTGAGATCTGGACACCTTCAGGCATTAATCCGTCCAACCTTTGCAAAAGAGGCAGAACGTTACAAAAATGTCAGTACTTTAGTAAACAAAAAAGCTCATTCTTGTTTTTATAATATCCATTTCCAAAGCTGATGCTTTAAAATGTGAATCCAATATGACCGTTTGAGCAAATAAGGCTACGTTCTTTGATTTCCTCTATACAGTACGAACAACAGAAAACGTTTCACTAAAAATACTCTGGTGGGAAACTGCAACATGAGGTTGATTTTTAAAAATGGCACTAGAATTAAGACACAAATTGAAGTCAACACTATAATGTATATGGACATATCAGAATGTAACAGTTTGTATAATTCTACAGGAAACCTGGTTTGACTTCTTTGAATTTTCAGTTTCGACACATTGACATTTCACTGCTCTTTTCAAAGGTCACAAGAGGCAAAAAAGGTCATTTGAGTTGCACCATGAAGACAACAATCATTGTATTCATTCTTTAGTTCGTACCATATAAACATCACAGCTGTGGTTTTTTTTTTGTTTTGTTTTGTTTTTACTCGGGCTGCAGAAACTATTAAACGATCACATGACCATGGTAATTTAAACCGACTGTATTTTCGTCAGTAAAGGGAAAATTCTTTCACGCACACAGTGAGCTGACACAACAAGTACAGCTCGAGACTTCACTTGTACCGACAGCACAGGGAGACTGTATTTCTCCTCAGTGATGCTGAGATAGCCGAGATGACAAAGAGCTGCCAATAGAGCAGATCTGCTCTGATGCATGAACTGTTTGGAATCTTGAGTCTCTTATTTATAGAACACAGTTCTTCCAATGCACATTCAACAGCTCCAATGTCCAGGCTCCAAAGCGACGCTGCTGGTAATTTACAGAAGGGAGATTTTTCACTGAAATTTAGATTTATTTAACATTGCAGTTTATAACTAAGTCTCGGTGACATGGTGCCTTCAGGTGTAATGTTAGGCTTTTTAAAAGCCTTAAATCACAAATCTTGTAAAAAAGGTATTTTGACACACCTTTTACACAGCAGGTCTATTTTTATATTTAAGGCTTTAGTTAAGGCTATATTATTTTTTATTTTTTTACTGTTCCCAATAATGTTACATTTGTCACTTTGTACATGTTTTTACAGTGTGATTTTTCATCAGTTCATTTAATGTAATTTGACATTAGTTGCTTTTGCCTGACTGTTCAGTTAATGCCTTCAAAGAACAGAACAGTTAAACCCCGTTGGAAGCGTTGCAGAGAGAACTGCCAGTTTTGAAATACTTGACAAGTGAAGACTAAGTGTTAAGAGGCCCGTGTTGTCATCAACATGTTTTCTTTTCTTAAAAGATGGACTAACGGACAAAAAAAACAGCTTGTTCTATGTTTTACAGCATGTAAAGGTTGTTTCCAAGATAAATAGTCTTTACACTGCTTCTTACATTATGCTGTAGTTAGAGGTTTTCTGCATGACTTCCACAGAGTGACGTCTTTTTCAGGGCAGCAGTGAGCCACCCTGAGAAGCTGACCTTAAAGAGACTTGGGCTTCAGAATCAGCTTTCAACCATTAACGTCGATGTTTGCTCTCAGAAAACTAAACACCTACAGGCTTCGAGGGCAGCATCGAACAACCACAGTCATAACTGTGATTATTTAGTCATTTGATCCAGAAATTATAGGAACAAAACAGAGATCTCAAAAGAAACTTCAATGTATTAACATTACATTTCAAATGATAAAATACATTATTAAATCAAATCATCACGAAGACAATGTACCATCAGTTTTCTCAATTAATTGTAAGGCACCGTCCTGTTTGGCCGCCAGTCTCATTGACTGCAGTCTGTTGTCCTCACAGACAGACACAGCTGTTGTTTTTCCACACCGTGCAAATCAGAGCATCGATGTGGGCTGGATGTAGGCTCGCCCGGTGATGTGCTTGGCGTTTGGACAACCAGGTAATGTTTGAGCGACTCGGACAAATGGGGAAACCTGTCTTCGTTCTAGGGAATTTGCTTTGTTTTCAAATAATCAGGGACTTCCTTATCTGGCGTACAATAATTTTTGCTTTCCTTCACTTTGATGGTCAGCACTGAAAACAAAATCCCCGATCAACCCTGTTTTTTTTTTTTTTACCTTTACTGATTTTCCCTTACTATCAACCACGTCCTCACCCTCACCTAGAATAAAATGAAAGCTGTTCATTCAGCAATAAAGGACAATTTAAATCAGTGAAGAAACAGGACTAGTTTACAAGACAATAACATCAGGAAATGGCAGTTATTTGTGTATACAAATACAGTGAAAAGTGACATATGTGAAGTCTGGATGAACGAGACACTGACCTGACCCATGTGAAGTGACGTGCCTGTGGGTTGGCTCTGGCACCACAGGTGAACTTGACATTTTCCTGACCCACATACCAGTTTTTTTCAAGCCCGCTTATTGACACCACAGGTGCAACTGTGAGAAGAAAAATAAAAAAATATGTGATGATGCTGATGTTCAATACTGAAATAATGTAGTGTTACTAGCTAACACAGAGAGAGAACAACAGTTTTCCTACATAAAAATAATGAAAATTTAAATGTTTCAAATGCTTTGTTTAACCAAGAGAGAAAACAACTGTGATAAACAGTCTGTGAGGAATGAGCTTCCTGGAAAGAAACAAAGTCTCTGTTATAAGCCAAGTAGCCGACTGCAACATAAACAACGGCTGCTCAGCACTCTAACAGTCAAGGTATAAGACCGGCTAGTGAAAGTGAGCCAGGAAAACAAGCAAAATGACCTCGAGGTTAGTGGAAAATTAGAAAATGACAGACTTAGTCAGACATTAAAACTACTGCAGCTCATAATAAACCCTCCTGTCTGCCGTGACAGAGTAAAAACAAAATAAAAGAAGGCGAGGCGATGCCTGAATGGAGCCCAGCACATGCCACTGTAATAAAGCATGGCAAACACTGACTTAGATATCTGATTGTTCATTTTGATTTCCCTGAAGGACAAATGGGGAACTCATTACAACAAACAAAGATGTCTTGTCTGGCTTATCAGGTCCACTGACCCTATTAATGCAGTTCAACATTAAAATTGTGCTTCTTTTGCACTTCAAATCCCCTGCGTCTGAATGTGACATGATTTATTGGGCTGGAAAGTCTCCTTCTTGCAGTATTACCACTGGTTATTCCGTGTCTCCATTCCAGCCCCCGACAACCTCCTGCTACTTGTGCTCTTACCGAGGTCTAATCAATATTTCATAAAATACCTTCATTACCCTGCACTCACGTAGGCCAAACAATGCAACCACCAGCACTGCTCACAAAGGAAATATGCATCAACGATTGTGGCATTAAGATGACTTTTAAATGGGCCTTTTATGGGAGAAAAAGAAACATTGATAAGAAGTGCTCTCATAAATCAGGCTATTGACATTTGCTCATCAACAACATACAGTGTCCTTTTAAGAGCTTCACCATTAGAGCCATTAGAACAATCATTTGGTTGGTATTACAGTGACCATTACTATGAGTGTTGGTTATTTACGTAAATAAGTTCACTTAACAGCGAAGACGCCGTTGACAGCTAATCATGTTTCTTTAACCTCTCTTGTCAAAACAACTTTTCATAAGTCACAAAAAATTGACCAAAGTGGAGGTCAGGTTTTTTTTGGATGTAGTTAATTATCTGACTACAATCTGCCAGAATTCTAAAAGAGAATTCTAAAGAGTAACATTTGACCTAACTGAAATGCTACCAGTCAGTAACACAAACAATGACCTCATGAAAAAGAGTTAATATTTGTCCTGTGGATCAACACTTACACTGAACATTTAATGTGTAGAGTATGCGGAACTCTGTCTGCAGGGTTGGGTGGCGCACGACACAAGTGAGCACCTTCCCCTGGGCGTAGCTCTGTGGCTGCCACATGTAGTGCACGTGAACGGTGCTGGTGCCATTGGGCTCCTCGTGACTTTGTTTCTCACTTCGCCCGTACAGCTCCGACTCCCAGAAAACCTCAGCGGCGGGTCGTCCTTGCTCGGCTATGCAGGTGGCCACCAGTGACTCGTTCCCGCCGTCCAGCAGAGCCGAGGGCCCAGCATACACATACACTTTTGGCTCCACTGTGGAGATGAGAAGAGAGAGGAGGGAAATATTACCAAACAAATATAGATCTGGTTGTGTACATATATGAATAAATAATGTCCATCACAGTGTATATGGACAGAAGCAACGGCCTCAAGAACACTTAATCGCTAAAGAGCACAGACTGACTTCCTCCATTTACATACAAATATAAAAAATGTATAAACCGCACCAATCAATCATACATTTCACAGGAGCTAAAGTGTTTTGTTTGTTGTTGTTTTATATATTGGGGTTTGTTTGTTTTTTTTTTTTGCTCTATGCATAGCATGTAACATATGCTAAAAAGGCTAAAACAAAGGAGTTAGCAAAAAGGCTAATGAGTCAACAATATAATGTTTTACATTTCAAGTGCCCTGGAAAGTGACAGGATAACATAGTGTTTTGCTCTTCAGTAATGCTACACCAGGCTCCTGAGAATAGCTGGACATATTAGACCACATCTGGGTTTTCTCAAGAGCGATGAAAAACTGATACATGCACAAAGGACCAAGACGACATCGCCTCCTACCTGTTGTAAATAGATGTACAAAATATAATCTTTATCTGCTCGGGCCTATAATACCATCAATATATAGTATTAAAAAAAAAGATCACAGTGTCAAACATGACACTTGAGGAATGTTGTGCAAAAGAGGAGGACAAAAAAGACAATCCAAAATCAAGAGTACACGCAGCATGACAATCGATATAGATTTCCTCTTTGTCTTCTCCATTCATCACTGTCTCTCTTAAATGAGTGTAGCAGCTGCTCCTCTATATGCAATGGTGACAGTTTTAAAGGCGGCACGTGGGCGCACGCTGCAGCCTAATCCATGAGACAAGGCCACAACCTTTGTGACATCTGCCAACCGCCAACCTCTTCCACCGGACTGGACAGGAAGTGCAAGGACCATTAAAAAAAGAAATTGACATAACTCTTATTCTAAAAATAACCTGGCACTCTCCTTCCATGCCAGAGTGCATGGGTGTGGACGAGGTTCTCAGTTATCCACCTTGTATTTCTTCCCTCACTTCACGGAGCCCCTCCTCACAGGCCTTTGACTATAAACAGTAATTGGTCTATGTTAGGAGGCGAGTTGGCTCAAGTAGCAGAATAACTAAATCAGAAAGACATGTTAATATAGAGCTGCTGTCAAAAAGGGAGGGGACACTGGGAAAAGTGCAAATGGTTAAGAGAGCAGGAGGAAGACGTACTGTATGTTCACTGGCTCCTTCTATTCACTGTACAGGACACATGACATCAGAGACTGCAGCCCAACACAGAAGAGACCAAACTGGATTTGTGAAGGCCATGGATTTTGTTTTGTCCCAATTTGAAAGATGTCCTCGTATTCAAATTATATTTTTCTCCCGTGGTTTGAACAAAAAAAAACTCTAAACTTTTGGACCTCGATGACAAGGACGAAGATCTGACAGAGCATCATGTCATACAGGATGGATCATTTACGTGCAATTTTGTGCTATTTTTAATGCACATCTGTGTTCTTTCCTGATCCCCTCATACTTCCACCGTAGAAGAGCCAAGTTACACAAACGTCTGCACTCCATTTTTTAGACATCACAAGATTAGAAACCCAGAGTAGATGCACAAAAAAAACAATCTAAAACGGACAGTTGGAAAAGCTGAACAAATCACTATTTTTACGAGCCGTCATTGGCCAACGTCTGTATTATGAATCTACATGTCACAGCATGAGGGCTGGTGACATGAGGGCTGACTGAATGTAAAGAATAGATACATTTTGAATCTAGGGACAAATTCACTACATGTGTATATTTACCAGCTACAGCAGCTTGCCTCCTGCCATCATCACATCACTTGTGTCTGTGCTGTATATACCCAGCTGGCTGCCACTGCTGCTTCAGTTGTTGCTGCAATATTTTTAACCCCTAATTGTATTTTCTTTATATTCTAATCCTGTATTTGCAGCTTTCTGTCCTCACATTGCCCAAAAGGGAAAAATGAAGTTTTCTATATCTGTATCAGATTTGTCCAGAGCCTCAGACCTTAATGACTTCTACACATTAGTCACTATGTGAAATCTAACATCACATGATTAAACTAAAAGAAGAACCAAAAGTTTTCAATTTCATAAAAGGGAAATCATGACTGAGATATATTTTCAAACCATGAGTAAGAAACATAGATTTTTCTTTTCTTTCTACATTTTAAAAAAATGTCAGCAGTACTGGCCACAAGAAGGAACATCTGTCTTCATGTTGTTACTAATTTATCTTTTAGGGCAAATCCTTAAATGTTTGAAGCTTAGGTAAACAAAGGATTGGATTCAGTAGTCCCCAACTGACCAGAACATACTAATGTGTGTTCATGCTTTGTTTTGAAGGACTGTTGTTATGTGGTGGACTTCTCATGGACTTGTTAGCAGTCGAAAAAACAAAGGGTCATTCAAATACAGTTGACAAATTTGTGGTATTTTCCTCCTCTGCTTCCTTCCTGCTTCTTACTGACGGGTCTTTCAGGCTCACGCGCTGCCGTAAAATCCCTGCTCAATGGTTCTGCCGTGCCAGGGCCTCCTTTTCAAGGCACTTAGAAATGAAAAACAAAAGTATGTAACAATGCTGGACCAACACAAATTCTGTTGGTTGAGTAATGCCGATTACATGCGAAACAAGGTTTCTGTTAAGAGGGCCTTCTGATATTCAGGCAATGTCCACTGCACCTGTTAATCATTACGACAAGTGGCGTGACTTTGGTCTATTGTTCGTGAGTTTGAGCCTTTCCTTTGCTGTAGTTTATTTGAAAGGAATGGAACAAACTGTAATAAACATCCAAGTGCAAATATGAAATAATACTCTGTGATGTGAGTCGAAATTAAAAAATGTCCATGTGCTGCTGTTATTAGAACACCACAACTGTAAACATGCTATTTAAACAGCATGGATGGTGATATATATACCGTATTTATGTACTATAATTATGTTTTGTCTGACTCACCAGGATGATCATGAACAGGACCTGAAATATCTACTGATCAATTAAAAATCACAAGAGTTTATATAATCATATACACATTTCTCCCCCCAATGTGGGGGAGAAACGGAGAGAAGCAATATGGGCTCCATTGATCATTGTACATACACAGACACATAAACACACGAAACGTAATTTGTCCTGTGTATTTAACCCATCCCTGAGGAGCAGGAGTTTTTAATTAGCAGTGCAAAATAGAGCATGTAGGTTCATTCTCAACCGCCTGCAGCGATTGCTATGAAGGCAGTTTGAAGGCTCTAATTAAAAGTTTCGGATCCTACTACACCAATATTGTTTTAAATAAATGCAATCCTAGCACTGAGAAAAAAAGTTTCCAAAATGAGCTTGTAACACAAATGAATTAGCCTTTCGGAGTAGCAAATGGCCACTGGAACTAAGACACGTACCTAAAAATAGAGACTCCTGATTAAATGTTGGTTTGTTGAACGAACTTTGTTTTAAAGCTCGAGCTACACCATGAAAACAATTAACTAATAATGAATGTATTGCATTATGTCGTTTAAAACTTGACAACTCAACTTTTGGTAATGCTAAAGTCAGGAAAGACAGAGAGGAAGAAGCCTCATGACTTGAAATCTGCTGACTGTCAACATTGTAACTGCAATATACTGTTTCACAGGAACACCCTAAGGGAAGGAGCGATTCCCACGTAACATGTATCAAATAGCAAAGGGTATATTTTTACCATGACCACGCCTTAATTACATCTGAAATGTACATTTGGCCTAACCTTGTGTTTGAGTACGCATGTACTATATGTACTGGTGTGGGCTTGAAGAGGAGAGAGAGCCCTGGGAAAGGGCTCAGAGGAGGGGCTTAGGTGTGAGTGACTCTGTGAGGTCACAGACACTGGAGTTCTCACAGCATCACTTGCTGTACCACTCATTAACCACCAGTCTCTGTCTCAGTATCTGGAGGGAGACCAAAGAGGCTGCTGCCAACAGTGCAATCTCCTACTCCCAGTTCAGCATGAAACCAAGTGCCCATTCAAGGTACGGAACATACACTCTGCTGACCACAGAGAAATGTCAACGTCAATGAAATGTCAACGTCAATGCTGCTCAGACAATAGATACTATTGTGTCTGTGGTTTAGATCACATGTTTAAAAAACAAATTATGAATAACCGTGTCAAATGCAATCCTAATTTATTATGATTCATCAAGTTGGATTTTCTTTTATTCCTAATTTATTATGATTCATCAAGTTGAATTTTCTTTTATATACTGACTCTTTTTAGCACATGTCCAATCACTGAGTCTCATTGCTAAACTGCTCTTAGCTCCACTGTTGTTCGGACATTACCAGTGTCTTCAAACCATGAATCTTGCACTTCAGTCTTTTCAACACTTGTGTTCTGTCCTTGGTTAATGGTTGCCAGACATGAATACAACTTTCTTATTGAAATTTCAACATCAGTACATGTAAATAAATAAAGTGAACATTGATAAACTTTTCATCTGTGGCCTTCAAAGCTGTGTCACGATTTAAATTCAAAGAATAAAGACGACAGACGATCTAACAAGTCAAACTGAAGAGTCACTTCCCTCTTCTTCTTCTGTTCAGTTTTAAGCCCAGTTCTTTAAATAAAATCTCATCATGCAGCTTGTTTTTATACAGCGTAATGACATGATCTTTCACCATCACACCCTGCAATTAACTTGTTTGTGCATGCAAATAAGTCCCATCATAAGAGGCCATTCTGTTAATGTGTTTGCGACATTAAAAACAGACTAACTTCCATGTGTTTAAACTGTGTTTTCCTCACTTTAGGAAATTCATTTCAACAGTGTTCTTACACCTCACTTAGACACAATCAATCAATGTGTGTTTTAAAAACTAATATCAGATGACGTTGACCATCTGTAGAAACATTTCACACAATAAGAAAGTAAATAAGACAGCTTTACCTAAGACATCGACGTAGGTTGATGCTTGTGTGTTGCCCAGAGGAAATGTCACGACTTTGCAGATGTAGGTTCCAATATCTGAAAAACTTGCTTCTTTCATGGTGATGGTAGCGTCTTGTATGGAGGGAGCTACAAACGAGGTGCGATGAATATAGTCATCCGAGTACGATGTTCCATGCTCTGGGTTGAACACGGCCAAGGTGATGGTGCCAGTACGAAGTGGTCGTTCCCAGGAGATCTGAGTGAGACTCAGGTTGGAACCAATCTCTATCCTGCAACTTAGTGTGATGTTTTTCCCCAGTACTGCATTAACTTTTTGTGGAACGACCACATAGTTACTGCTCACACCTGCTGAGAGACAAAAAAAAAACACAAAGGAGAGGATTATTCATAAGTTCACCCTTAGATATCAGGTAGCACAAGGCTGAAAATATGTTTTGATAAATACGTTTTGACAAGGTTAAATTATTTGATATATGAAACAAGGGGAACTTTTTTCCTTAAAAAGGTTTACTTCCTCCCTGCCAAAAATGGATGTAGAATCTTCAAATTACATGATTCCAAACTATAGCAGCTGAGATGTGTGATATACCTAGAAAATGTAAAAGAACTGCCGATTTATTTTAGAGAATGGAAATTACCACTAAGATTCCTGGATCGGTGTTGCCGCACTTTTTTCTGTACCTGTATAATCTGTGCTATCTTTATCGCCTGACACATAACTCTTAGCTGACAGGCTAAGATAATGTTTTTTTATTGTCAAAAATGTCAAAACATCAACTCATTTCATCTTTCACATTCCACAGATGGTTACATCAGGAGCCATCGTTTGTCTCCGCAGTTGTGTTATTTTTGTGGCGGAGAGAAATTCCACACTTCATCTTGGTTACTGTGAGGGCTTGGCCTTTCCTTTTTATAAGCAACCACACAGTGCAGGACACTTCTACTGTCCCTTTTGCTAATTATCTGTGCAACACTTTAACGGAAAGAAAATTAATTTAAAAAAAAAAAAAAAAAACATCAGAAAGGAGATGAAAGACCTAAAAGCAATTTAACCTCATTACGACCCTTTTACAGAGGCTCTTAAAATGACTAAGAGACACACTGAGTTCATTTTTTAAAAGTTATTTCAAACAAAGGTGAGAATTTGTCTCTGAGTGGAACATTAGTGCCAACATTGCAAAATATAATTCAATAAGCTGTGTAAAGAAATCAGGTAAACACGCTTTCCATTTTACAGAAGAAAGCTCACAATAGAAAAAAAGACTGAGTTGGTGTTCACGAAGTGTGACTTCCACAGGCAGTAATTTGTGTGTCACAGTTAGTGGGCGTGTCACTGGGTTGTACAAAACAATAACAACCAAGGCAAGGGAACGTATTATATGTTAAAGAAGTACGCCGGAAAAAACGTAAATTAGAGATCGCTGCATTGAAGAGGAAGAAATAAAAAAAAAATCCACGATCCCCGTTGTTTTCAGCATAATCACACAAATGAATCATTGATAGAAACATGCACAGTTTTAAGAGGCTTCACATAAACATTTACAACAGTGGTCTGCATGAATTGTAGAGTAGATCCACATTAAAAACCTGTAAAATGAAAAAGTGACAATGTGATTTTTTTTTAAATAAATATTTCAAACTGCAGATCTGTCGGCACAGGCAGAGTCAGCTATATTTGTGAGTCATAAATTTCCACTTTGTACATTGTCTCGGATGTATATGAAGTAAAACTTATAAAAGTGGTCCGCTGGCTGGTATTTTGAGTCTCTGGCATGAATGTGAGCGGTAAGCCACAGCAATGCTATCTTGGTTTGGGAGGAATATAGCCAAGGAGGTTGAGGCTCCCTGTGCTCCATTACATCCCCTGTAATTTTAGTGATTACACACACACATACACACACACACAAGGAGAGAGTTTCTCTCTTCCAAAATAAGGCCTAAGTGTGTGACCATATGTGTAAGAGTCAGGCATTTTGTTTGAATAGCTGCTGCGTTTTAAATGCATGTTGCATTGTGTTGTAAATGTGACTTTTCCTGCTGTTCTCTGATACTTGGGTTCTCCTGTTTGTATTTGTTCCCCGCTGACGTATTTCAAAAAAAGTAAAAGAATTCTCATCCTGCTGCGTGAACCAAACTCGCATATATCTTTATTTTAAGTAGGGTTTAACCTATGAACCTAAAGTGTTTAACTCATGCTGCATTATTAGTCATCCACTATAAATGACACAGAAGAATGTCTGTTTGGATTGCATTACTCAGGGTAATTTCATTATCTGTTTTACATTTGTTTCCCACCTCAGACCTAAAATCGCTGTAATGGGACCACGTGCGTTAGGAGTCCACGAGTGCCAGGGGTAACCAGGGGTCTCTGCTGTGACGATTTTTCATTTTGTAAACTACACCAGCAGTCTGTTGTTAGCTAACCTGAGTAGAAATTAGCCTAGCTAACAAACTGTAATTACTTAAACGTAAGGCCAGCATTCTTTATGTCTAAATATCAAATATCTGTAAAATTAGGCAGAGATTTGGGGCTTAAGGTTATATGTTAAACAGGGTTACTGTGTGACACAACAGACAGCACAAATATTTGCTATTAGCTGTGTAAACGGTGCTGACGGGAAGACAAGATAAAGAGAAAACATTCCCTGTATTTTTTCCCTGTGACTATCCGTGTGTTAATCAAACTCTTAGGTGGTGGTTTAAGCATTGACAGTTTTAGCAATGACATTGATATGTTGTGGTGATAATGGCACACAAGCTCCTTGTCTCTGTGGCCAAATTAACAATCTACAGATTTTTAAATGCATGCTGTCTTTTCTAGCGTAGATGGTCATTTTTGGTTTGTAGACAAAAACAAAAAAGTCTTCATTTAGAGCAGGGGTGCCCAATAAGTGGATCACAATCTACCAGTGGGAGTACTGGTAGATCATGAGCAATCACAATAAATAAATTAAAATATAAATATAATTATATAGTATATAGTAGTGACCATATAGTGTAAGAATTGAATTATGTTGTGTCAGTGAGCCACATACACTCGGCAACATATGATGTATTTATTAAGTATGTATGATTTAGAGGTACATGACTGACATTTACTAGAGTTTCTCAAAATTTCTTGATAATTTTAATATAGAAAACAATTATTGTTTACTTTAGTTCTTAACACTCAACAGTAATCCCTTGTTATAGTTCTAATACCTGTAACTAATTAAAGATTGCTTACGAAGACTGACCCAAAAAAGGTCTCCTGCAGTGCTTGTCTTCTTAGGGGTTAATGAACGCGCTTGGCATGCGCGACATTGTGTTGATGCTCGGAGACACGTGTCTAAGATCAGACTTCTCCCTGGCATGCTCCACATACTGCAGCTATGTGACATGACACTCCAACTGCTACCGTGCGTAGTTTGTCTACCCCGGTGTGTCGGCTTTCAGGGCCTGTCAAAGCACACAAAGAAACTAGACTCCTACCATGCCATGTTGTGTTTGTTTTACAGTAAGCATTTCAAGGTTCAAGGAGCATTTGGAGGTAAGCAGTAAACGAGGGAGCAAAGTGGGGTGGGGGGGGCGGTGTTTAGAGGAGGACTCCACCCTTGCCATTAGGGGAGGAGAGACAGATGGCCTCTGCATGGGATACCTACAGCTAGAAGAGTGGGGAAACTTGGCACTGCTCGGGGTGACCATGAACAACAGAGCCAGGGCTCGCAAACTAGAGCACAGTGAAATATTATCCAAAACACTGTGGGCCAATGAAATGTAAGCATTCCGTTAAACACAGCTGTCATGCTGTTTTATCTAGAAAACAGGCATGGCCCTGCAGAGCGGAGGCACAGCTCGAGACTGTCGTTACTTCCATTGCTTGGTATTCGTCTTTTCTGGTATACAAATATGGCTCTAATTTTTAAGAGGAAACACAAAACAAAATATTTAAAATTTCAATGACAATTATTTGGTGCATAAAACTTTGAAACACATGCAATATGCTTCAGCTTCAAACACTGCAAAAACCAAAAGAGTTGCTTTTTCATCCCCAGCTGACATTAAGCATAAAGAGGTCCCAGGTCATTGGGACATCCAAGTGATATCACCAAGTGTATAGTTGCACTAAGGTTTTAAATTTCTTTAAAAATCAAATTCAAGCTAATTTTAGGTGAGGCAGTGGACCTTTGAAAACAAGGAAAGTTTAAGAAAATCACGTTTCCACCCGCTCTTTTTTTACCACGTAACTGGTTGGGTCTGCATGAACAGCAAGGTCTGCTGAAGGTACAAAGGCATTAACAGCTGCCATTATAGCATAAGAAAACCCAATAAATAGGTTGTTGTTACAGTTCTTTCTTGGCCAAGTAAAACTCGTATTTGGAAGATTCTCACAGTTTTTAAAAACTTCATGAAATATGTATGTCAGGCAATGTGCATAATTATTCCCTACCATCATTATGCAGCACTACATTTTCTCATGCTTTTCTTTTCACTTAGACAGGTCTAATTGTGACACCCTGCTCTGATTAACAGGAGGAACTTTGGCCTACAAAACCTAACGTGACTGCAGAGAAGCATACTGCACTTTTGGCCTCTTTTCTCTGAGAAACTGAAGGAAAGAATGAACTCATGGGAAGAGTATGCTTGTCCTTTGAAGAAATGCTTCATATTTGTTTCTTTCCCTCCTGTCATCACTAATTGCGACAAGCTGCTCAGAGGACGCAATAGCAAATCCAAACCTTCCTTTTTGCTTGGCAACTGACTCAAACATTCCACATCAGCCACTCGAGGAGCCAAGATCTCCACCTACCCGACCTGACCCAGCATCCTCCTCAGTTGGCCAGTAGGCCGTCTCATTAGCCACAAAGGGATCCTCGCAATAAAGCCTGCAGGTTCAGACTCACGTGAGACAACACTAATCCGTGCCAGAAACGTTCATAAGCTGCAACAATATAGACAATGTGTCATGTTAACATAGACAAACTACATGCATAGATTACCATGTCAAACAGCACTCGTGAGAGACTGATCTTAAGACCTCACAGGCGAAGAATGCAGACATGAGATTTGTGCAGAAGGGAGTGTGGTTTAGGACTCAAGCGAAAGGAAACTCTGAGTTGAGCAGATGAATAAGCATATAAAAACAAAAAAGGCAGTTATTGGTAAGAAAACAAGCGTGAATAAGAGTTTAAAAAGAGGGAAACCCGTGTAAGCATAATAGAATGAATCTCTATTGGGCTGGACATCCTTTATTTTTGACTTGCGATACTTAAGTACAGCTATGATGAAAAATAAAACATGTTCATACTGTATACCAACCAAAGGAGGTGCAGAGACTTGTGAATACATCAAACTTACATAGACACTTG